AACGAACAAAGATTTCATAATTCAACGAGAAAGTTGAAACCGGCTCGAGCCCATCTCATTCCCCTCCCCCTCATTACGACTATCGATGGAAATTCAATATAAGCAAAGTAGTATCCGTGAGAGAGTGCAATACAGGTAAAGCTTTTCTTTGGTTCGATCTTACTTTGCCGCTCGAATGCGACGTTTAAGAGCAATTTCCGTAGGTATAATCTACGGGATAAACGCACTCTTTACGCTTTATTACGCGTTAAACATTCGAGGGGTGAATAAGGATGACGCGTAGAACGTAGGTACGTATATACATATGTTGTGTTGGAACATCTCGAAAGGATGAGAATTATCCAATATATCTTGGAAGATATTCTCTCCGTCTTGCTTAGTCCATAAACACGCGACCTGTAATTTGAACGTCGGCATTCGTATTTTCGTTAACTCCTCGTAAATAGTTTCCCTCGATTGTAACACAAGGTATCATTAAAATAAGAAACTATCGATATACCTATTATGTCTACTATTGGATATATATCTATATAGTACGTATACATATATTAGCATAGACAGATGTCGGAGAAATCTTATAAAATCGTATAAAATCGTGTTAAATCGTATAAAATCTCATTATCTTATCCGATCGATAAAATTCCGTCGTTTCCTTCGGATCCGTGTAAAAAATTTACGCGAATCATCATCAATCGTTTTCTAATATATCATTAAGAAAGTCCGCAATCGCTAGAGATACGGAGAAATCTTGTAGGAAGTGTGGTGGGTTTAAATATCCGTTCGTAAATAATCGTATGGAATAAAATAGGTTTATTCTTTTTGTATTGTTGTTAGATTGGAAAATGAATGGTCGATAATGAAGCTTAATCTTGATAGATCTAAACGTTTGTAGAGACACTTTTCATCTGCTTTAATATTGTCAAATAGCATTAAATAGCGTTGTTGCTTATAGTTAGTGTTGATGGTGGTGGTACTGTTGCTCGTTTCACGCCTTCCTTCTAATTACGGTTTAAGCTTCGACCGGGTGTGCTTAGATAAACGAGCCTAGCGTAACGGCGCGCGCATAAATTTTTCAATTACACACGCTCCTAAAGCCCGTTATTATAGCACGATCATTGCCTGATCTAGAAACGCCCGCGAACCGGCGTGTTAATCTACGAATAATAATCCATGCATTAACTTTCGTAAACGTCGTTACGCCTTCGATTTAAGTAACTCCACATATTGAGAATGTCATTATTTTTATTTTTATTATTTTTTGTTTTTCTTTCTTGTTTTTTTTTTTTCTAAAACGAATATATAAGTTATAGGTATATAGATATTTTTCTATTGATTATAATTAACTAAACGACATTGTTGAAATTTATTAAGAAATAATATTATTGATTGAAATTTGTTGTGTTCCATGTATTTGGTTAGATTACAAAACGAATGTTATCGTCGGTCACAAAAGCGTCGAAAGGATGACACGACAAGCGTATAATGGAATAATCGTTTGCATTCATCTCATTCGAGTGGGTACTCAATTTGACCTATCGTCGAACGATAGTAAGTATCCTTGGTATATAATACGTGAAATCCTTAGGAGATCGTTAACCATCTAGTGTAATAATAAATTAATCTAAACTGTGACTGAGAGAAAAGAAAAATAAACCTTGTTACAATCTTTTTTAACACTTTTCACGTGAAAGTTCACGCGTCGTGTATTCATTTTTTATATTTATAAATTTACTTAAAAAGGTCCTTAACATTATCTAAAGAATTTCACGCTAAGAGTCAGGATTTATCAAGTGAAACCATATAACCCGTCAGATTATTTCTTTTTTTTTCCAATCTCATTTATTTTTTTCTTCAACATTGTCGAATACGAAACAACGTGTCCCAGCCTCTCCTCGAAACGAGTAACAAGCATGCAATAAACATCGAAGCATTATACCTCACGGACGAGGTTATCTGTCCGTCTGCACTTTGCCTGTCTGCTGCTGCTGCTGCTGTTACTGCTGCTATGTAGAACCTTACAACATTGCATTTACAATCGGAGCCGCGGTAAAGTGAAAGTTCACTTCTTATAGTGCTCGTTCGTGATACTCTTTTTCCGATTGTCTCGTCATCGGGTTTGTTCGTTTGTGGCTCGTTTACTCGTTCACTTGCAACGAGAACTCTGTTGTGCTTTGCTTTTGCTGCTGCGACATTATCCTATCAGACCTAACATACGAAAGTAATAGAGAATGAGGAAGAAGATGGAGGGGAAAGAGGATGGAAAACGGGAGAGAATGGATGCTGAAACGACGACGAAGACAACGATGACGACGTCACTGATCCCGAACGATCTCTCTTATCCGCTCTCCGTGAGACAAATTCTCACGCTTCGTACACGACGTACACACATGTATCTACATATGTACATTGCACTTCTATTCTCGCTTGTGTGTTGTATTCTTCGTCTACCAATGATTATATACTTACATCTTATAAAAGCTGTACTTTCAGTGTATCACCACTACTTGCTAAGATCGAAACGTCCCGGTATCAAGTTAATAACGCCCCGACGTCACTTCGTTCCTTCGTACAACGTTCACTCGTTTGGCGTAAATTAATGCTTCGTCCAGTTAAACGATCCTTCGTTATTCGCTACTTCCTACATTCTTCATCATCATCATCTTCTTCTTCTTCTTCTTCTTATTCACTCGAGTCAATTGTCAGTATTATTTGTAAGATTTTGCAAACCGTTATTGTTGGTAGTACAATTAACTGTTGTTTTACTAAAAAAAATTAATTGATGAATTAACAAAACATCCTTACGTGTAAACGTTCCTTTATAATTTTAATTTTGTAAATAATTATTAAGAAAATAACAAGATTATATAGTGTTTAAACCGTTTTACACGATGTTAGTAACATACACGTTGTCGTATTATAAAAATGCGAATCCTAGAATCGTTCTTCATCATCTTACACCATTGATTTAACACAAGTCTCGTGCACGGCCTATAGTAGTTGGCTTCTCTTCTTCTTCTTCTTCTTAGATGCTTTCTAAAGTAAAGTATGCGCCCGGCTAATAGCTCGACTCGGGAGTACAGATATTGCATCGGAGACGCTGGTGCCGTGGTAAGGTGCCACGGCAGGCAATTAATTCCTCCGGGCAGCAGACTTCCGTATCGGAAAGAGATAAACGCTGGACGCTCTCGCTCGGGACCCCGAGGATCGTATATTACGTCGTGCTTTTGCCAAGTCTTTTTACGAGTAGTTTACCAGACATATGAACGTCAAGTAGCAGCTTTTCAAATAAGAACTTTTCTTTTTATTTTTTTAACAATGGGGATAATGAATTAAACGAAAATAATCGGATAATTGTGAAAAATGTTTCAAACTTTATATCGTCAGCAATTACATTTTTACTTTTCTTCAATGTAATAATAATAATAATAATTAGGAAAAAAATATTATTATTATTTTTATATATAAATTAATTAAGAGATTATATATAAAGTGACTTGTTTTTTCTTAATACTATGACAAATGAGATATTGTTATATTACAAAATGTCATTAAGTAATTTATTGGAGATAGATGAAAGTATTGATTTAGAAATATCCGAACGACGAAGTTCCTGTGTGTGCACGCGTGTCCCATAGATTTCTCTCTTCTTCTCTCTTTCTCTCTCTCTCTCTCCTCTTGTTTCATCGATAAGAAGGTATAGTTGTGTTGCATCAGGACGAAGGAACGAGCTACCTGGCGCCAAGTGGATGTCGGTACGACCTATTTGGTCGCGCAAGGACGATTCACGAGAGCACGATTCTCTTATTCCGTGCTTCCTATCCGTATTCTCCCGGTGACATCGGATACTTTAAATACCATTCTCCTAATTAACTTTGTGTTATGCTAAATCCTTCGAAATTTAAAGCAGCGAATGGACGGCGATAGGACGTCCATTAATTGCTGCAGTGCGCATCCTAAACCGATCTTATTGGCAGCTTGGAAAAATCCGCGGAACTCTTCAGAACTCGTACCGACGAACGAACGAGATCGTAATTACTTCGATCGCGTAATGTCTTACTCAGGCGGCGATCTGAATTACTAATCGGTTCGTTTTCTCCAAGATCGAGAACGAGACGCGTCGGATACGCCGTTCGCCATTTACGGAACTATCCACGTCGGTTCCATAACTATAAGAGCTCGCTTCTACGGGGAAAAGGTGATCTCGTATAAAAAAGGAAATAGTAAATAAAGAAAATAAAATAGAAAGGATCGCGATTTCATCTTCGTCGATCGACTTTTTCAAAAAAAAATAAGAGGAAGAAGAAATAAATGGGGAAACACAAAATGATCGTATCAAGGCTCGGCCTTTAACAAGAAGAAGAACAACAACAACAAACAAAAAATTCATGAAAGGGAGGAGGAAAAATACGGGAAAATAAATGACTGCAAACGCGTCGAGAAGAAATATGAGAATGTATATATTCCTATCGATATTTACGAGTAATTCCGTTTTCGATAAATATGCCTAATGAACGTCGTCGAATAATTTAGCAAGTTTCGATCGAATGACACTCAACATACTGCTACTGTCATTAAGAGATAATATCAAAATTTGTAATGAAACTATCCGACGCACAACTCGTTGATAAAACTTTTATAATATTTATGATAAATACGTATATAAAAAGAGAAAAAACAAAAAACATATATATATATTTAAATAAAAAAAAAAAAATAGAGTTAGAGAGAAATTGAGATAATGATGATACAATATTTATATTAAAATAAATAATAAATAAATCGAGGCACACTTTTGAGATACGATTTGTCAGATCGATGACGGATGACGAGGATGATAAAGACGACGATGATGATTGATGATTAAACGAAACTTGTCTTCTTATTTGGTATTAAAGTCTTTTGATAATTTCGGTACTCGCCGCTCGAGGTTGTAAAGCGCGCCATCCGCCACGACTCGAATCAAATATGGCCGCGCCCACGTAGTAGTAGTCGCGCGTTGACAGTCGAAGACGGTGGTAGTAATGTTTTGGTCTCTACGCGACGGGGTACCATTATTTACGTGTGCCGTCTCGTTATATCGCGATAATAATCGAGAACCCTTTAAATCATTATCGAGTTTGAACTATTAATCAGACAAACCTCGATAAACGATTTTATTCACAATTTATGTATATATATATAAATATTATTTTACCCCCACCCTTCCACCCAACGCCACCGCCGCCATCAATTTTGATCGTTCAACTTTTTGGGATGTTCTTTTAACCAAAGAAAAAAAACAAAGATCCAGAGGAGAATTTATTATAACGTTGACGAAGTAAACGAGGAAAAAGAAAAAAAAAAAGAAAAACAATTATTGCTGGACTGATAATTCGTTGTTTTGAAAAGAATGAAAAAATAAATAACATCGATCTAATATTCGTTAGATCGTTAGACGCCATATTTTTTATTCTTTTTCTCTATTTTTTTTCTTTTTCTTATTTCGCCGATGAACCTCGCGATTCCACGCTTTTCTTTCAAGGTAAGATAAATTTTACTTTTCATTTCGTGGAATATCGAATTATCATTTATATAATGATTAGTTCGTATGATTTTAATTATATTTATACTTTGTTCGTTTTTTTTTTTTTTATTATTATATCGATCGTTTGCTTAATCTATTAGATTAATAATAAATTATGTGATTGTCATTGTCGCATAGACGTAATGTTATTAGAATTTAAGCCAAAGGAATTATGTATCTGTTTGGGTTGGAATTGGATCACGAAGTATTGATCAAGGTAATTAATTATTTTAGCCATGTCTATTTTAAAAACTTGATCTGCTAATGTGATTAATTAGATTAATTGTACAACTTATGATAATTGATTAATATTGATTAATAGATCTAAGCATTTGAATTATGAAAAAGTCATAATTTATTTCATAAAATCTAAGGTACAAAAATATGCGATCGTTAAGAATTCATTTGAAAGATAATAAATAACCGCCACACACATATATACGAAAGTAATTCGTATATTCCAATCTCTTTTTTCTAGTGTTATAGCAAATTTTCATTAACTCGACCAACTCATAGACGTATTTATATTTTTATGAAATTCACTACTAGACGAAATTCAAATTCTATTTTTACGATTTATACAAAATCTGTAACGATTATCGATTATTAACGAGACTCACGTAGACATTCGAGCTCATCTTCGACCATTCCAAATGTAAATTCATTCGCGTTATCATTTTCATGAAACTTTTATCATCTCGCAGGTGTTCCCGAAGAAAGTCAAGGTAAAAATCGTGCCACGCTAATGATTAATTTGAACGAAAGATAAATAAAAAGGGGATGATTTATGATTGCAAACGCGAATGAATGACTCTAATATAATTCCATTTAGCATAAATGATACATAGAAATATTACGTGAGGAAAAAATAAACAAATTACTTCACGTATTTACGCTCACAAAAATATATATTTCTTTCTCTCTCACAATTTTTATACTCGCATACTAATATTCGAAATCTCTCTCTCTCTCTCTCTCTCTCTCTCTATCAAAAAAGATTATAAGAATAAAACAAATAAAAAAAAAAAAAATGCACGCGCATATTTTTCCCAGTAGAAAAAGATGGAAAAAGAAAAGAAGTCCATTAATTACCGTCTCAAAATGATTACCAAAAAAGGTTATGTTTCGATAGAACAACAACAGTTCTTTCAAAAAAGGTAGATCGAATATCGTACGGTTCCACAAAGTTCTTATGGTACGAACGGAGAGAAAAAAAAAGATTTTGTTTCCGCTTACGGTCCACGCGAATGGGTAGGTAAAACGGCGTAGCGGGTACGTGCTAAGACAGGGGTCACCGGTATACACCTGCCCTGGAGCTTCCAGAGCGCGATAATATAGGATTCTGATCTTCAACGAGTAATAGAGAGAAAGAGAGAGAGAAAGAAAAAGAGAGAATGATAAAGAGAGAAAGAAAGATAGATGCAAGGGCCGGTATCTTCTTCTCCTTCTCCGATTCTCAGCTCCTCCCGCTTCTTCTTAGCTTCCCTCTCCCCTTTTCCAGCTTGGGAACATAATGCCGTGTAGAGCAGGTACTCATAACGCCCGGCGAACCCGTTGAGATATAGCCCGGGTAGTGTTTCAATCGCCAAGCCACGAACGTCGACAATGATACGTGCGCGTATGCAAAACGTATTACAATATTGGATAGCCGGACTATGCATCACGATAGTCGAAATAAATCATCCGCGAACAAGCACCGACGTGGCTGGCTCTCTTAACGGGGGGGAGGCTTAAATAATTTACCGATTTTTCGATTGCACGACCCTCGGGGTCGCAACCATCGTAGCGCGTAAATCCCTTTGACCGGTATCTAGCATCTTGTTTCTCTCTCTTTTTCTCTCTTCTTCTTCTTCTTCTTCTTCTTCTTCTTCTATCTATCTTTTCTTTAAGTTTCTCCATCTGTTTAGCGAAGAAAACATTCCCGGATGCTGGAAACCGAGGGAAATCACATGGTCCTCGTTAAAAATCCATCTACGAGGAGAATCGTCGAACGGAACTCGTGATATTTTATCGAAAAGTCGTCTTTATTTATTTTTAATTCATGTACACCTTGCATACTTACATTGCGTTCCTTGCTTGATAGAACCTGAGTTATTTCGTGTAAAGTATAAAACGTGGAAGAGAGAGAGGAAAGAGGGATCGATCGAACTTGAATCAATTTGATTTAACACGTATACATACGAGTACATAGGTGTATATATTGTAATACAAGTTCTTATAAATTTATATCTTATATCCGCATCTCTCTCTCTCTCTCTCTCTTTCTATGTATATGAACACATTTGAAACGAATATATGCACGTAAGTATTACGTATAGTACTTGCGTACACGTGTTTTATCTTTCGTTATTGTAATTTTGAGATTCTCGGTAAAAACGTAATCCCCCATCATTTACGATGATACGTGTATCGACTATATATATATATATATTCATATGTATATTATAATATATGCCCATAATTATGAAAGTGGTCTAACAAGTAAAAATTAAAAAAAAAAAAAAAATGAGTTTATCTCAGTTACTTCACACCATATTATTTTAAACTAAATTAACTCAACAAAAATTTTCACATAGTATTTGTTATTTCAATATTATATAGAATTTTTAGCGTTCAAATGTAATCATTTAAATATTTAATACTTTCATAATTATGGTCACATATATCACAGAAAATCTACTCCTATCTTTTTTTACTAATAATCGGATAAGCAAGAGTCTTCTTGATTTTTAGTTAATTCTTTTTTTCACGTTGGTTAGATATTCTTTAAGAAATACTTAAACCCAAGATGAAAGAGAGAAGACGAGAGAGAGAGAGTAGAGAAAAGTAAAGAGAGGAAGGGTCGTTCAAGCGTACAATGCCACTTGATCCTTCGACCACTGCCTGGTGCGTGTACTCTTCTCTCTCTCTCTCTCTCTCTCTCTCTCTTAGGCGTTATAATGGTCGAGCGCATAATATAGAGGGTAAAACGCGGTACACGTACGCGATATGTGGGGCGGCTAACAATGGAGCACACCTGAGCACGGGCCGGTGCGTTTGAGATGGCTTTTGAAGACGGTAAGAAAGAGATAGAAGGACACTGTAAGGTAAAAAAAAACAAGCAGAGTGAAAGAGAGAGAGAAAGAGAGAGAGAGAGGGGAAAGGTATCGCATGAGAAGGTGCACCGCTATGAAATGTAGGGAAAAGAAAAAAATGAAAGAAGGATCGCATCGAGATGGGACGTGTGCAGGAAGAGGAACAATGCATTTCAGCTTCTTCTTCTTCTTCTTCTTCTTCTTCTTCTTCTCTTATGCTTCTTCCTCGAACTCTTCTTCTTCTTCTTCTTCAACTACGTCTCTTCTCTCCTACTCTTTCACTTATGTTATACTACCGTTCATTTTCCTTTTCTTTTCTTTTATTTTTTTTTATTTTTTCTGGGGTGCCAGCCATTTGTTCATGAAACACCAAAAGGGCAGCCTCCTTATGTGCATTGTACTCTCTCGATTAGGGTTGCCAACCGACCCGGATTGGCCGGGATTGTCTCGGAATCGAAGTAGCTGTCTAGAATCCCGGTTTAATGTCAAACTATCCCCTGGAATTTTAGAGAAGGTTATCAATTAATATCATCTAAATTCCAAAGTAATTTCTTTTTTTTTTTTTTATTACACACGATTTCGTGTTAATCCGTTGAATATTCGTCAAACTTTCGTTTTTCCCTATTACTATTTCAAGCCAATAGAATATATGAACAATTTACGAGTCTTATCGATTAGCTCAACTTTTGAAATTTTGTCATATTTTATTATTAAAGTATTTCATTAATATTTAATTTCAAATCAATTTCCTTAATAATTAGGCTTAACATCATTAAATGAAAGCAATTACTATGATCATTTTCAATAATTAATGATACAGTAATGTATATTATTCATATATATATTTTCATTTGTGTGGGGTAATATGTTTAAGAATTATTTTGTCAGAAATTATTGGAAAAACTTACACACTCGTGTGTCCATTTTTATTGAAAGTATGCGAAACAAATTCCCGAGTTTTGTTTAACTAAATAAGTCGTAAATATAGCGTTTTGTCGTAGTTACTTTTTTCATCAGAAGATTTTTTTTATTTATCTTCTTTCTTGTTAATCAGTCGTCTCTCATGGCGTCATTCATTTACAATACAAAAAGAAAAAAAAGTCATATAGTGTTCTCATTGTTAGAGAATAAATAATCACGACGATTACATTGATTTTCATCGTTGTTAATAATAATCGATTCTGTGTAATAATGTAAAAGAAAAAAAAAACAAAATATTCAACGCGTTAAATGTCTCGTAATATCGCGATAAATTATTTTCTCATTGTAAGAAGGATTTTCTATCCAACGTGAAAGATATTAATTTGTTATCGTATTTGTGTTTATTCTCTATGTATCATTTAATAGATTATTCTCGTTAATGACACCGTATGTCCTCGACTATACGTATTTTACACGTGTCTCTCTCTCTCTCTCTCTCTCTCTATCTCTTTCTCTCTTTCATCGTGTTGTGCACAGTGTCAATGAGAAGGATGTCGTTAACACTCTATTAACTGAAATTTACATATGACAATGCAACTAATGTTTATTTAGACATGAGATAATGCGCATCGAACGAGAGAGGGGAAAAGAAAAAGGAAAAGAGAAAAAAAAAAGAAAAAAAAAAATATCTTTGATCAACGAAGCGCAAAAAGGCTTTTAATGTCTATAATAATGTATGCAATTGATCGGTGTATGTTAACGCGCAAACAGTCGCTGCTTTCGAAAGGCGTAATGATCATCGATCTCATAAGTAATAAACATTAAACCGAGAAGTTGCATAATAATATTGCCCACAAAGCTCTCGTGTTCTCTATATTCTTGTCGTAACATTGTAAAACTCGATTGTCGCCGAAACATCGAGGAAAAACTCTCGATCGGAATAAAATTGTTTCACTTACACGC